TAGACCTTCACACCCTATACAATGAAATGTTTTGTTTGTAGTTTATTTGTTTGTTTGTGCTTAAGCACAAAGCTACAAAATGGGTTATCTGTACTGTGCACACTACGGGTATTGTCAGATATACACGACTGTTTAAGTTAATGTGAGTGTTGTGATTTAGATGGTTTAAATATAGCATGAGTATTAAATTTAGTTATGTTTAGAAGTGATAGTTTATCGCAGGTTTGTTTATGTAACTGTGTACGACTCATATGTTATGTAGTTCAATTGTTGTGACTTGACGCTTGTTGTATTATTGCGTCACGTTATTAGAATATTTTAAGATTTTCTCGTTGTTTTGACTGAGTATTATAACATTATAATATCTCGTAGAGTGTAGAAGGTTCTATGCCTCGGTCAGGCTATAAATACGCATACAAAATGTAGTTCGACTTAATAAGATAAAGGTAGTTAGATAGTATAGATAGATATAGATTGGGTGATTTGGAGTTTAACCATAAAGAACGTATAGTGGCGATTTTTAAAGTGAAATTATCACAGTCTGTATTGTAATAAGAGAGCAGGAAGGATAATTCGTCTTCTTAATTGTGTTCTAAAGTATCTGAACTAGCCTGTGTGGACTTTGAAGAAAAAAAGACAATTATTTAAAGTTATACATACAACTGTGATAATCCACAGTGTAATGAACATTTTTAAATACATTTGACTTGTTTCAACATATTATTGTGTGTTGTTTGTCTATTGTTGAATTTATCACCAACAAGTCACAGACACCTACTGTAGAGAATCTGGCCCTTCCATACATAAGAACCTGACATTGGTGAGCCAGCCAGGATTATAAAGTGGTAAACGGCGGTAGATCTAAACAACAGTGAGCAAAGTAGGCTTATATATGCACAACTGTTGTGGTAACAAAAGTATTGTAGAGAGTACAACCACGCTATATATCAATGTCAACTGACTGATAAGTGGATAGAGAAGGGCGAGTGACTTGAGCTCAAAGATGATGATCTACAAGAGCTTATTAAATAACAACAAGAGCAAAAAGAGCATTAACAGAGAAAAGAGGAAGCAAGAAAGATATGAGAGACTGGAAGTAGAGAGAATAAGAGCACAAGAAGAGAAGAAAGAAAAGGAGAGAGTGGAAATAGAGAGCGAGAATAAGATCAAAAAGAGAGAAAGGAGAAAAGGAGAGAGAGGGGATTGACTGAAAATAGAAAGAATAAGAGCACAACTTGAGACTGGCAAGCTCACCCAACAAAAAGATGAAGGACCCAAAAATGACAATGGGGGTCAAGACCAACCAACCCAAGCTGCCCAAAATTGATGAACAGAAAGATGATATTGGATGCTTTCCTGGTGAGGTAGGAAAGATTTGCCCAAAGTCAGAATTGGGACAAAGGTGACTGGGTAGTCTGTCTCAACCCTCTTCTCACAAGAAAAGGCCTACAAGTGTATGTACAAGTGTATTAGATGCTATGGACTATGACAAGCCAAAAGTGGCATTGCTAAAGTGCTATGAACTTATTGAGGAAGAAGTCCAGAGAAGTGAAATCTTACACTGGAGAAACTGAATTTCAGTTATTGGCACATTTGCAGCACTACTTCTCAAGGTGGACGTCCATGGCCAATTATGAAGATATTTTTGAGAGACTGGCAGATCTATTAATACTTTAACAGTTCATGATCATGTGCTCAACTGACATGCCATTGTTCCTAAGAGAGTGAGCACCAAAAGACGTGGAGCAGATAATCAAGCTGGTAGAACAGTTTATATGGAAACCCACGGAGGGAGTATAATGGGCAAGTCAAAAAATATCCAGTTAAAGTCGAAACCAGTAGTGGCTGACCAGGAGCAGGAGTCTATCAAAAGTGACAGGAGATTAACAGACAAATGGGAGAATAGATGCTAACCCTGTTTAAAATGGGGCACATTGTAAGTGAGTTCAAGCCTGTCACCAACAAGCAGCATCAGAAATTTTAACATGAAGCAACTGAAGCTACCCACAAAGATGGTGTTCATAAGATACAAGAAAAGAGTGACTGTTACCATGGATGCTGCTGCCAGAAGAAACAGAATCAAGACAACTTGTCAGATTTACCACAAGAAAGGGGTGTTGTCATCATGATTAAATGATTGATGGTCAGCTCAAGTTAGTGAATGGGTCAACAGTGCCAGTAGTGATCAGAGCATGTGACAAACATCAAGAGGTACCAACAAACCACAAAATGCCAGTAGGTGAAGGTTATGTCAGGGACAAGAAAGTGAAAGACATACAAGTCACTGGATGCAGCAGTAAGAACTAGTCTAGTAACTGATGACCAGATGATAGGTAAGGTACATCTGTGTGTGCTCATTGATGGAACAGTGAGAAGTTTTCCCATAGCAAGAGTAAATGTGGACACTCTATACTACTTGGGAGACCTTGGGGCCATGTGTATGAAGGCACCCAGATGGGTGATTGGAAATATACCAGGCAGTAGAAATTTGGAGGAACCATAGAGAAAGGAGACTAATGAAGCATGAGCTCAAGAGAAGAGCAAGTAAATCCCAAAAATGTGACATTCTAAATGTAGGTCTACTGGAACTGAAGAAAGCCCAGAAGAAAAACCCCGTCACTGCAGAAACTTTGGGACATTGCCCAGGAGAAAGTCGAGCACAAGACAAAGGGAAAGGGACTTACAGAATACAGGACTAGAAGTGAGTGCTGCAACAGCTCTATTAAGGCAGTTCTACTGATGAAGTTAAACAGATCATAGTGCCAACAGAATACCAGACTCAAGTGAGAAAGTTGGCTCACGAGTAAATTGTGGGAGGACACCTAAGAGCAAAGAAGACAGTAGACAGAACCACCAGCAATTTCCATTGGCTGAGGTTTATCAGAGATGTAACAAGACTCTGCAGGTCATGTGACATCTGCCAAAAAACAATACCTAGAAGGAAGGTAACCAAGATGCCAATGGGTAAGATGCCTCTCATAAAAGAGCCATTCACCAGAGTAGTTGTGGACTTGATTGGCCCACTATCACCTGTATTTGACAAGAGCAACCAGTAATTGGTGACAGTAGTTGACTATCCGATAGCAGAAGCCCTCCTGGAAGTGTTCTGCAGAATAAACTTTCCAAAAGAAGTCTTCAGTGACAGAGGGACTCCATTAACCTTAGAACTAATACAGTTTGGTTTGTTATAAATTTCGCGCAAAGCTACACGAGGTCTATCTGCACTAGACATCCCTAATTTAGCAGTGAAAGACTAGATGGAAGACACCTAGTCATCACTACCCACTGCCAACTCTTGGGCTACTCCTTTACCAGCAAATAGTGGTACTGACCATCACTTTATAATGCCCTCACTGCTGAAAGGACGAGCATGTTTGGTAGGACGGAGATTCAAACCCGCGACTCGCAGATTGTGAGTCGAGCACCCTAATTACCTGGCCATGCTAGGCCAGAACCGATTCAAGAGGTGTGCAGACTCAACTACATTAGGCAGCTGTTTACAACCCCAGATGTAATGTATTTTTAAGCGAGTTAATGGAGTCTTAAAGAGCATGCTGTAATGTACCTGGAGAGACCAAGTGACTGGGGCAGGTACCTGCAGACAGTATTATTTGCTTATAGAGAAGTCTCACATGCAAATACAGGAGTTTTGCCCTACGAGTTACTGTACAGAAGAACAGTATGAGGCCCAATACAGATATTGAAAGAACTGTGGACAGGAGTCAGAATTGAGGAACCAGACCGTGTTAGACCCCAGAAACTGAATGGAGGAGATCTTTCAACTCGCTTCAGAAAGCTTGTATGCAGCCTAAGGCAGGTAGAAGCATTTATATGACAAGGCCAAAGATAGACATTTAAACTTTATTCTACATCCATATCTAACATATTGACACATTCAGTAACATCAAAAGTACCGAAATCACCTTCAAACATGTCTACATCAAAAATATCAAAGTCTTCATTTTGCTATTGTAATTGTTCTATCAAATTAATTTATTCAGAGATTATGTTGATTAAATTAACCAATAAATTATTATGTGAAATAAATACTGACATAATTGCGTTCTAGCTAGAATCCAGTTGTAGTTAGAGAGCTTACACTAAATATACTCATATACTAAATGATGTTAAACTAGAGAAGATCTCAATTGAAATTTACAGTGCATTTGTATGTGGACGCTGGAACAATGGCTGTGCAATGGCCATCTTCTTCACTAACTGGAATGCCAGAGAGATCAGGTGCAGGGTTTTTAGCATTAGGAAACGCTGGGAAGAGCTTCTGCTCAACCCAGAAACAAGAATTTTTATATTTTACTCTAGGTATTATTATGATACCTCAAATAACTCTCCAGGCCCAATCTACAAGTAGATCCTTCACTTAATTGGTTCAGTTATGCTGATTCACTGATTCAAAACCAAAACTACTCACTAATTGGAGTTTTGAGAAGCTGTTAACTGGCTTCCCATTTGACTGTATCCCTCCTTTTTGTTGACCATTGCATTGTTGCATTTAGCATAATTAAGGTAAACTTTCTGGAGCTTTTGTTTATGTAAACAATTGGTGTCGCAATTTGTCGCGATTTTTTCATGACAATTCCTTATTTGGTTTTTGTTTTTTGTTTTGTTTGAAGTTAGGCACAAAGCTACACAATGGGCTATCTGTGCTCTGCCCACCACGGGTATCAAAACCTGAATTCTAGCATTGTAAGTCCGCAGACATACCGCTGTGCCACTGGGGGCTCCTTATTTGGGACATCCGTCTTTATCAATCTTCTATTATACTCTCGTTAATGTGCATATTCTTTCTGCAACTTGCATGTATGCACGGCATAAAATGGATATTAAATTTTCTCTCCTGGAAGCATTTAGAATGTCAATAAAAGATCCTCAAAATGCTTCAAGACCTAAGACTACTGGGTTGAGATGAGACATATATATCAATATCAGTAAAGAAATGACTGGCAAGCAGAAAAAAAAAGAGTAAATAGATCTCTTCACAGATAAACCAGGCAAGACAGATTTTGTGCAACACAAAATCGAGACCACAACCAGGGATCCAGTAAAGATGAAGACCTACCAGATGCCCTATGTGATGAGAGACCTGATCAAGCAAGAAGTCAAAGTAATGTTAGAAGCCAGAATCATTGAGCCTTCGAATTCAGCCTTCTGTTCACCAATGGTAATCATGGAGAAGAACAACTCAAACCACTTCTGCATAGATTTTCGGAAGCTGACGAAATTTGACTCCAAACCTCTACCCGATGCACCAGCTCCAACGACCGAACAGCAGGTCAGATTCTTCCTGGGGTTCGTGGGATACTTTTAGAAATTCACCCCAAACTACGCTGACGAACCTGACAAAGAAAGACCAACCCAACAAGGTATAATGGGAACAACCACAACAGATGGCATTCTATAAGTTAAAGAACATGCTAGGAAGTTCGCGAAACCCCTAGCGTGCCATACTTCAACAAACCGTTCATCATTCAGGTCGATGCATCAGATGTTAGAATTGGAGCAGTACTTCTGCAATAACATGGACTGTTTTCCATAATATACATCACTAAAAAGCTGTTGAAGAGTGAGAAAACTACTCTATGATTGAACGAAAGTGTCTAGCCACCGTATTTTGCTTCCGGAAATTCCAGAACTCTCTCTATGGGAAGGAATCCATCATTCAGATGAACCTTCAGCTACTTGCATATATTCAGAGGTGTCAAATTGACAGTACGACGATCATGAGGTGATATTCTACACCAGAACTATCAATTCTACATTGAAGTTATCAAGGGGACTGCAAATGTTGGTGTAGACTTTTTTGTAATTTCAGTTAATGCCTGAAATCATGCACGAATCTGCTTCATTTTGAGACATCTGATATATTGTTTGATGTTTTGTTTTTCTAAGAGAATCAAAGCAGTTTGAATACTAATTCTTAACAATTAATATAACAAACTGGTTATTGTTTCTAATGGTGAAGCTGTTAACACTTTAAAAGCTCCGATTCGAATGCTATTATTTAAAAGTTAGTTCTTAAAGTCTTTTCCAATCAAACTCATAATGACAATGATAATGCAATGAAAAGGAAACGAAGTCAGTTATAATAATAATAATATACAGTAATATAATAGCCTGCTAAATCTGGATGTTGTATCAAAATACTAAAAGGTTGAACTGAATGAAGTTTGCTGGTGTCTGTGTTTTCATTTTATAGCAGGGTATTACGGCTGACTCATTTTAAGGACACTCAGCAACAGATTTAACTGAATTCCGTGATTCAATGCGTTGATGGTAGAACACTAGCTTAATTAGCCGCGCTCTGTTTCGGGGTTCAACGCCCCCTTCTCATGATACACAGAAGTCCCAATGTACTTTAAGCTCCTCCGTTATCACAAATTACTTCTATAGCCATCTCAAGGGGGGAGGGGGGGTACCGAAGTAAAGACTCGTCAGTACACTTTCGTGTAGTACTTAAAGCACATGTGCCAATTTTGGTCCCGCTAGATTGCGAGTAGAGGTAGAAATGCAGTTTAAAGCATGGCACCCCCACAACTCCGGGAACTATGCCATATAGGTAAGGATACCTCTGGGCCATTCCGAGTCCGATTTCCAAGTTTTGATCCTGCTAGCTCCAAAACTGTCGGAGGAGTTCGCAGACAAGCAAATAAATTCACATACAACGTGAATTTATATAGAAATGACATAATACCAGACTTAAACTCGCGTTTATCCCGCGATTCAAGGTGTTAATTTTATATATGACAGACTTAACCGAATGTCCGAAAATATTTCAGACTTAACCGAAAATATTACAGAGTAGCGCATCTGCATACATAAAATGTTGTGGCGAGCGTGGCCTACTGGTTAGCGTATCGAACTGGGGATCCGAGGATTCGACGCGTGGTGCTAACAAAGACTGTTCACATTATCTGTGGGTGCGTCATAAAAATTACAGTCATTCCTGCTATTAGGTCACTGCAAAGTGGACGTGAAAAATTGTTTGCAGTTTCGTGCAGAAGTAAAATCTCACTCTTAGCATAAATATGATTCTGTTGCAAAGATACATTAAAAATAAAATACCGTATTTTTCGGAATATAAGACGCACCCTTATTTTGAAGACAAGTTTTGGGAAAAAAAAAAGCTACAGTCGCATTTGAAAGATTTTTATTGAACAAAAATTCAATTTGATACTTTAAAAATTAGTATATATTGTTCTAAACACAAAAGAGCTCAAAATATCAAAATAAGAAAATACCGTAAATCAAAAAAAAGGTTTACTGTTATTTAATTTGGTTCAAAACCTACAAAACCTTCATTGCTTTCACTGTAATTTATTTTTTTATTATTTAGATAGCATTATAAATAGTTATTTTTTTAAAAGAATAAAAACTTCGGTGTATAGGACGCAAGCAGATTTTGACATCAAATTTTGGGGTAAAAAAGTGCGTCTTATACACAGACAAATACGGTATATTAAAATTGTGTAAACGAAAGAAAAAATTAAGAAGATAGTCCAGATACTCTTTCAACACAATTTAAAAAAAAATTGTCTAAATAAAAACTTTTTGGTCAATTTAATTTTCACTGCGTTTACACGTACCCTTTTATAATTATCTTTCCTGATATTATCACTAACGCATCCCCTAGAGATAGAAGACAATGAGTATTCGTTTTCATGTAATCTAACAGATATTCTCGAATTTTGACTCTTACACAATATTGTAAAATTTATACCATTGCGTGCACACGCTATTAAAACCCCTCGAGGTAATAGATTTATATTAAACACTGTTTGTCTTATTTGTATGGAAATATCCGTGTTGCGGAACACGTACGCGTTCACTTTCGAAATAGTAAATAATTAGTTGCAGTAATTTTTTTTTTATTTCTTTTCAAAATTTTTACTTAGATCAGTTAGAGGCTTTCAATGGTTGAGGTTTTAATTAAAACTGCGATACATGTTTCTGATTATCTGCGTGTGTGTTTGTTATATTATCTGACGAAAGACGTCGTTATACCAGGGAAATTTACGTAATTTCGAGTTTTAATTTCGAATGTTAAATGAAGATTGTTAATAGACTGCGAAACTAGGAAAAAAGGGCTTACACATAACTGTATTCACTCCAAAAATTAAAATTAAAAATGCAGATATTATTCCGCGTGTCCATTTGTTATACCTTTCTGTTTATTAACTTGTTTATTTGTCTCTCTGGCGATCTGTTTACCTCTCTTCCCAGCAGCCTTCTGTTTACCTACCTGCTCAACAGTGTATCTACTTATTTTTTGTGTTTTTCTTACATGTCTCTTTTAATATGTTTACCTCTCTTCCCAGTAACCTTCTGTCTGTCTACCTGTTCAACAATGTATCTACTTATTTTTTATGTTTTTCCTACATGTCTCTTTTTCATCTGTTTACCTCTCTTCCCAGTAACCTTCTGTCTACCTACCTGTTCAACATGTATCTACTTATTTTTTATGTTTTCCTACATGTTTCTTTTCATCTGTTTACCTCTCTTCCCAGTAACCTTCTGTCTGTCTACCTGTTCAACAATGTATCTACTTATTTTTTATGTATTTTCTACGTGTCTCTTTTTAATCTGTTTACCTCTCTTCCCAGTAACCTTCTGTCTGTCTTCCTGTTCAACAATGTATCTACTTATTTTTTATGTTTTTCCTACGTGTCTTCTTTTCATCTGTTTACCTCTCTTCCCGGTAACCTTCTGTCTACCTACCTGTTCAACAGTGTATCTACTTATTTTTTATGTTTTTCCTACATGTTTCTTTTCATCTGTTTACCTCTCTTCCCAGTAACCTTCTGTCTACCTACCTGTTCAACAGTGTATCTACTTATTTTTGTGTTTTTCCTACATGTCTCTTTTACCCGTTTTTTTTTCTACCCCTGTATTTGTCAGAAAAACTTCCAGTATATTTACCACCCAATTTATTTTTAGGTTTACTAATTGCTTACCTATCAATCCAAGGACATTAGGAATAGACGAGAATCCAGCAGTATTAGGTAATCAAATCGCAATGCCCTCTAATAGGCCGAGCCCCAGTGGGGGACTTGAAGAAAGTTGTTACCCCTCCCAAAATTGTTGTTTTGTTTTTTTTTCAGAATTGAGTCTCAAATTAAGTATTTAACAATTATTACAACGGATCAAAACATCGCACATTTTTACATATATTTAGTGTTAAATTCAATTTTTAATTAACCAACACGAGCCCAGACAACAGTCGTTTGCCATGCTTTTTCTTCGTAAAACTCGACACTGTATTTACCTGTTTGTAATCTGTCTCTACTTAATCACTTTTATGTTTTTAAATCATTCACGGTGTATAAGGTCGTTCTAGACAGAAATGATATTTATTTAACTAGTTGTAATATATTTTCTTACAGTATGTGTACACATATATATTAGATTGTAGCATGATCATTATTGTTTAGTTATAATCCTCATCCTAAACCCTAGATTGGTATAAAAATATAACAGTTTATCAGATGAAACAGAACTCGCACCACATGAAAACTCTAGCAAAATATATATATCAGTGTATGTCTGCCGCCTGTAGGTTTTGATACCCGTGGTGGGCAGAGCACAGATAACCCATCGTGTAGCTTTGTGCTTAACAACAACTAACAGAAGTGCATGTCTGTATTTATTATTACAGGTCAAATATATTTTACGTTATAATTTTTTAATTAAATAGAATTATCTATGCATTTTTGTACCATTTGTATAAATTATAAAGTATGCAATAAAGAACTCGGGTTTTAATTTGTTTCAATGTATGTATGCATTTACATTTTCTGAAAGGGTTTCTGATGTTGTTGTGTGTAGTTTAAAAGTACACCGCTAAGAAACGCCTGTTTAAAGACTTCTTAAAAACTAAAAGTCCAGTCACGCTAACTGACTTGAATCCGATGACTCATGATTTGCGACACATTGCCGAAAGAAAAAAAACATTCTTCAATTTGGGACACTGAATACACTATAACAGTGATGTCAAATCCCACTTTTTTATCAGATAAAATTGGATTAAGAATTGGCGCTTATTGTTGTTTACTAACTAACTACAATCTAGTCTATCAATTCAAAATTAGAGACAAATATGTGCAGGTGACCTTTATGCAACTTGCGTGAAATTCTGAAAAAAACGAAAACTTATAATTTGAGTATATTGTTTGTTTATTATAAATTTCGCGCAAAGCTACACGAGGGCTATCTGCAATAGACATCCCTAATTTAGCAGTGAAAGACTAGAGGGAAGGCACCTAGTCATCACCACCTATTGCCTACTCTTGGGCTACTCCTTTACCAGCAAAT